CCGTCAAGGACCTAGAAGAGTTTCCCTCCAACCAGGAGGCCAATCACAGCGCGACACGTGTTGACATCAGAAGCCAATCATAGCGCGACACGTGTCAACATTAGAAGCCAATCACAACACGACACATGTCAATGTCAGAATGAAACTAGAAACTCTCTTCTATAAATAGAGATCATTCTCTCACAATATTTCCTAATGTCATTTGTACTAAATCATTCACTAATACTCACAAAAGGAGAGCTTGAACCTATGTACTTATGTAAACCCTTCATAATTAATGAGAACTCCTCTACTTTGTGGACATAGCCAATCTGGGTGAGCCACATACATCTTGTGTTTGCTTCCCTGTTCCTATCCATTTACATACTTATCTACACTAGTGACCGGAGCAATCTAGCGAAGGTCACAAACTTAACACTTTTTGTTGTACCAAAGTCCTCACTGATTTTGTGCATCAACACACTTAGATTTGGATGGATTTTAAAATCCTTTAAAATCTTTTAATTGACTACACCTAGATTTGAATGGATTCTAAAATCCTTTAAAATCTTTTAATTGACTACACTAGGATTTTAAATTCTTTTAAAATCCTCTCAAATCTGAGTTTGACTACACCCCCCCTAAAATTAACGGGTCATGTCATGCTTTGTTCTTCATTACCGTAGTTATTGTCGTTAATACTTACTTCTCATTCTTTATTTTTGTTTCTAAAAATTCAAGTATGATTGAATTGAAATGTACCGTGCTTCTTTAAAAATAAACATTGACATGTACTTACACAAGTTATTTTCAAATTGGAACGTACATATGATAAATTAAAACATATTCATACCAAACTAAAATGTATGCTTACTAAATTGAAATGTATCCATATTGGCTTGAAACGTACATATAGGCTTTAGAGTTATAAATAACTTGCCGTTAGCTTTTTACATAATAAAATTATGATAATATAAACGTATTAATAACTTAGTACGCATCTAAACAAAAATAAGTGCCATATCAAAATACTCATTTGTGCTCAAATTTGAATCTAGCTTTTCATTCATTTTCTCACCAACTAAACCATGGGTAATTTATTTGACCAACCAAATTCTTGGATAATTTGACATAAAAAAACGATTAAGGAAGAAAAGAAGAGTAAATTGAAGATAAGGGATTAGAAAAAAAAAATTATCACTTAATAATATGGTCTAATGATATTTTTTATTTATTATTAATTGATATGTTTTAGGTTCGATTTTGATGAGAATTCATTTCAACAGCTTACCAGGGAAAGAAATAATGGAATTGAATCCTTCAACTTCTGCGTTTGAGTCAAATCAAATTGCGCTTTATTTTGTTGTGAGGTGTGAGGGCATTTAGGTCTATTCGAAATAAATTTGGTTAGAATTATAAGGTTAGTATTTTACAAATCCCGACGCCCACACCAAAGTGCAGTGGAAACCCGAGATCCCCGCCCCGAACGTAGACTTCCAAATAGTTCAGAAACAGCAGCGCGTGTGATCGCAACCATCAATGGCGTCGAGCAAGACTCTGCTATCAGCAACAGCAGCTCTAGTATTAGCGACGTCCCTCTTCTGGACATTAGCATCGTCATCGGCGTCGCCTAATTCGGCCGACTCCCTCGCCTTCATCAAGAAGACCATCTCTTCCAACAAGATCGCCATCTTCTCCAAGTCCTACTGCCCGTACGTCGTGCCACTCTCTTCCGTTCGTTTATTTTTCACTAATTTCTTGTAACTTTGATTCAACATCTCATCTGTTTGATTTGAATTCAGCCCATTTACTATTTTATTTAATTTTTCAGTTTTATGTTTTGGAATTTGGGGTTGAGTTGAATTTTCGATTGATCCGAGTAGGATGAGGAGTTTTCGGTTTTGTTACCATAGATGGGTTTCTGGGTTTTGAAGAAATCGCCAATTGCAGAACTCCCAAGTTCGAATCGACGAATTCCCCTTCTCGTAGTTTTTATTAGATTAGAATATTACCGAGGTCGAAGAGAAAGAAAAATGAACAATTAGAAGTTAATTTTGGTTTTTAGAGGTCCATTTATCAAAACATATTTCCTGTAGTTTAGATTAGATTAGAATATCGCTTGAATTGATGAGGGAAAAAAAATGAAATAACCAATTAGAAGTAATTTTGGATTTACACTTTGTTTTTTATTTAATTTTTCATCAGAAGCACAAGGACATACAGCAAATTTGGGTTTTTAGAGGGCAATTTCATCAGAAGCACAAGGACATACTGCAAATTTTACTTTTTGTTGTCTATTTTGTGTAACGTATATATTGAATTCCTCCTCTTATTATTATTATTATTATTTTTTATTTTCTGATTTGCAATTTATTTGGATTGTTTGCAGGTATTGTAGAAGGGCGAAAGCAGTTTTCAAAGAGTTGAACCAAGTACCGTATGTGGTTGAGCTTGATGAGAGAAGTATGTTTCATTTAGGCCTTACGGATTTTTTTTCACACAATGTGCATGAAAACATAGAAAGTAAGGAGCTTGTTGCTGAAATATGAGATTGGTGCAAAATTAACTTGTGGGTTGAAATCAATCTCAAGAAATGGCTAAATGTGTTTCCGAGTTCTAGGAATGTGCATTAATTATTCAATCTTTTAAGTGCCCTATTAACTTGCAAGAAGTTCCAAATTTTGTTGTTAGGATTGCCTTTCTGGATTGCTGAGTGGCAAATGTGATTGGGTTGCTTGAATTTGCATTCAGGACAATAGTTTGCCTGTTAGACAACGCTTCTTGTAGAAGCACTTTGTTCAACAGCTTTGTGCTGTTTCGTTTGAAATTTGAAAGTGCATATTAGCATATGTATGCCTGTACTATATGCAAGTGCAAGTACCATTCCATTATAAGTTGTCGATTGAAGATGGCAATGTGTCTTTTCAGTTGACGGTCGGGACATACAAGATGCTTTAAGTGAGCTTGTTGGGAGGCGTACTGTACCGCAGGTGTTCGTGAAGGGGACGTACATTGGGGGCTCAGATGGTAACTGTTTTTCCTTTCAAAATGTTTTGTTCTCTTTATTTCTGGGAAACGTGATTACACCAAGAAAATTGCTAGTAGCTGATGAATGCTCTGTTTTCTAGATACGGTTGAAGCATACGAAAGTGGAGAACTGGCTAAGCTTCTCGGCATTGAGGTCAAGAAGAATAGGGATGATCTTTAAATTGAATCGTCAATGATAAAAAACTGGTGGCCACTTTCCGAGAAAAATTGAATGTAATGCTTTATAATGAACTTCTTCCTTCAAATGTGTGCGCGCACACATATTATGGCATTCACTTTTGCATAATCTTGTACTTTATTTGGATGATTGTATTTTAGTAATTTAAAGGAGAATGCTTCATTTCTCATTTGCCGCATGGGTCTTAAGGTACTGATGAGGTTTGCAGGGACATGAAATACTAACAGAAGATGGTGGAATACAGTCAGTGAAAAACAAAAACTAGGCTCCCTTTGCTGTATCCTCTGATCCGATGGAGAAGCAGAACGATCGGTTATATGAAGCACCATGAACTTCTGTTGCCTTCTCTGTAGCCTGAATTCCGCAATATCGCTGTTGTTGATGGCACTTGCAGTTTCGGTATGCAGAACTTGATCGCTACGCAGCTAAACCAAAATTAATACCGGAATAAAGGTTTGGCGAAACGGGCGCAAATCAATCAGAATCCAGGAAAGCGTCGCCAAACAGCCTCATACTTTATACTCTCCTACTCTCAGTCTAAATCAAGAAGAATTCTAAAAAGGAATATATTATTTAATTTGAACAATTTAGTCATCTCTGCGTATCAAACAAATTGATGGTTATGATAACAAACATCTTTATTTTTGGACCATTTTATAATATTCTATAACATTTGCTTCACTTTATTTGATCGGAATCTCCGGAATGCTCAATGAATGAGCTAGCTATTGGTCTATAAAATCATTGAGTTCACAACATTTGGGTAACTGCAGCACAAAATTAACTACTTGAATTGTCAAGAAATCCACCACTTTCTGGGTCTGTTGAAGTTTAATTCTCTAGTGTTAGCATGGTATCAAAGCAGGTTGCCCATGTGTCGTGCCCAACATCACCTAGTAGGTGTTGTCCACGTGTAGGCTTAAATGACACCACAAGTGAGGGTGTATGTTGAGAGCGTAACTCTCACATCGGGGTATTAATTGAAGGATCTTGCATGTGCTTATAAGAAGTTAGGTTACACCTAATATTGCCAATTGGTTGTGTTTCAAGTTGGTATGATTTGATGTATTGGTGGTATATTCTCAATTTATATTTGATTTTTGTCAGTTAAAATTCTCTCTCTCTCTCTCTCTCTCTCTTATTTTGTGAATCTTACACTACGTATTTTCATTTTCTTTTCACTTACATTTTGATATGATCGTCTTCTGTATACATTGAAAAAAAATCTTGTTTGACAGCTTAAAACGATTCTTGTTTGAAATGTCTTGTTCTGGAGGGTGAACAATGCATGTGGGCTGATCCACATTTGTGACCAAATCATATGGTATCGATTAACAAGACAGACAGACAAGTTTTTGACCGCAATGTCTATGGAAAAGATGACGCCCGGACATGCCTTACTTAATAATATTGAAGCAGACTCGTACAATTATAATACACACAGACAGACACATACATGTGCGTGCATATTGCACTCCATGATTGTTGTTTGCTACCAGGCTAAGATGTGTGCTGGCTTATACTATAAGACAAAGCAAAGCACACAGTTATTGGAAATTATATTAGGTTTTTGAACTTTGAATCTAAATAATTACTATCAGAGTTCATCGCTGTTTCACTTTCACGTAGAATATGGATTGAAGAAAGTGAAGTTGATTATCATTCCCTTTCTAATTTGATGGTATGGGATGTGTGTACAACGTCTGGTCAGAAGTATAGTTTGAATCCACTTCAATATTCCTAATGTTTCAAATCTGTTACTAATATATTGGATCAAAGTTGAATGACATGATGATACAAAAGAAAGTTTCTACTTTTGGATTTCTTGAAAAATTACAAAGTTTCAAACGACATGATAAAAATTCTGCACTCGTAATGAAAATTGGTATTTAACGCTGCTAGACTTCTGACATACTCTGGTTCTCATTGTGCAATACAGGTGGGAAGGAGTTGTTCGTGTTGCGCTCTTAGGTTGGAACCAGAACCAAAGAAAAGCTCATATTTCTTCCGAGTCTTCATCTGGAATTATTCATCATATATCTGTCAAAGTGGAGTCTGATTTCATCTGTTAATGATCCAGATTTATAGGTAATGTAGCCAGTTTACGGTTAAAGTGCCATGTGCTTCCATAACCTATGGCTCAAGGTACGTCATAATTCACTTGTTGGCTTGGGTTTTATTCGTGTGAACAAACAGCTATGTAGGTAGAGAGAAATGATGAAACAAACATGAATTCCGCAACAATAGTAACGACAACTTTAATCAAGAGTTCCTTCATGAGACATATAAGTACATCACATCTGCATAACTCTCAATCAAGAAGGTTCAGTAATGGTCTATGGTGTGGGATGTCTAGGTGTTGGATTTGGATGAGTAGTCACTCCATGATAATCGATGTGATAAACAAGCTCGTCTAAATCACTGTTGCTGTTTGAATGTTTGATTACTACTGGAATTTCTCGGAACTTCGATGTTTCTGACTCTCCGTCTCCATCAACGACCTACATGTAACACAACCCCGGTGATGATTTTGGATAAAAGTAGAAGACAAACACAATCATCTACTAAAAAAAACTTAAAAAACTTATCGTAATAGAATCAGATAGTTTCAGCATACAAACTTGAAAATAAAAATACTATGTTTTCTGTCACTAAGCGGACTGTTAGGGGACTGAACACTATGATTATCAACTCATGCATCGTGTTCAAAGAAATTAAGCTTGAGCAGGATTCATTTTTCAAGTGGCATTTAGTATGTCTGAGAACTGGGAACAGATCTATTTTGGACCCTATATGACAATAGTTGAAGTCAACTTTATGAATTGCACGAAAACTTGGAATAAAAACATTATGCATCATATAAAAAAACCTACCTTGAACTTTTGATACTTATTAACCTTGTTGTTGGTCAATGACATGCTTAATTTTCTCGTGGGTCGTCTTCCTGGGAGAGAAGTCCGTGAATCGGTACTGATCTTGTGGGAAGAAAGACAGAGAACTGTTATAAGGAAGCATAAGAAAATGATGTACACCGATTTCATCGTTTATACAGCTGAATGAAAAGAAGGTATACTTGGGGAGCGAAAAGTTGGAGAACGAATATAGATATATATTGTGTGAGAGTGTGTGTGTGTGTGTGTGTGTGTGTGAGAGAGAGAGAGAGAGAGAGAGAGAGAGAGAGAGAGATAGATAGAGGGAGAGAGAATTATTGATTAAGGGACTGGGAAACATGTCTGAGCCCATGCTTGTGATTCTGTTGTTTATGAAATGGAGTAGACAGGTGTGTCCCCATGTTGTTTCCTAATATACACTCTTTGAAAACTCGATTGTGGCCTAAGAGCAATTCCAGCGGAGAGAAAAAAGGCAAAGGTAAGGGCTGCCAAATTGCCCAAAACTCTAGCCGCTTAGTACCACGGTCTAGTGGTACTTTTCTTCACTTGTAAGTGAGAGGTCTTAAGTTCGATTCTCGCCAAAGACGAATTTGAACCACATTATTGCTAGCTCATTGTGAAGCTTAGTCCACCCCCACCCCCTAATGTGTAGTCCACCCCCACCCCTAATGTGTATAATATCGTTTGTTCAAAAAGAAAAGAAAAAAATAAAACCATTTAGTACTACAGTCGAGTTGTGTTTCTCTTTACTTGTAAATGAGAGGTTTTAGTGTCACATCCTGACCCGGGCCCCCACTACATCTTGGGCTCGACTCCACCGTAACACGATATTGTCCGCTTTGAACCCCCACCACGTCCTCATGGTTTTGTTTCTGGGAACTCACACGAGAACTTCCCAATGGGTCACCCATCCTGGGATTGCTCTCGCAAGAACTCGCTTAACTTCGGAGTTCTGATGGAACCCGAAACTAGTGAGCTCCCAAAAGGCCTCGTGCTAGGAAGAGATGGGAATTTACATGTAAGGCTTAGAGGATCCATTCCCTTGCACACGAGTCAGAACCATCTAATGTCGTATGTACGACAGGACTAGGTGTAATAAGTATGCTCAAGTGCTACGATCATGTGAAGACCGTGCGAATAATTGCGGGTCACCTACAAGTTGGAACCACCTATAGTGGTCTGTACGACAAGACTGTGCACCAAACTTGGATCCAAGGTGAGCATGCGGTGCGGGAGGTGAACATCACGTGAATGACTGTGCCCTGGCCACAGGTGGGAGCATTAACACCGGGGTGCAGGTTTATGAGCTCTAAATGCCTCTATGCATAACCATCATAATGCAACTCACAATCATCAATACATATACTCACTTGGAACTTACCTGAGCGTCCGTAGCGTCAAACAATAACATACACAACTACTAAAAGCATATACCAAAATATAAAGCATTTGACATGGCATATAAAACACAAAATCATTTAAATCAACAGAAAATAAAAGCCCACTCACCTGGAGTCCGCGCTACAACTCCCTAGCACAAACATCGAGGCGTCACTAACGATCGGCGCCTAGAACAATTATCAAATCATGTCTCAGAAATCTTATCGATAGAATATGTAACTTACATAAAACACATCCCTAGATAATTCGATCCAGAAGATCCGCATCACGGATTTTCGATCCTTTACTTCCAAAGATCCACATTATGCTTTTAGAGCAACATCTTAAAGTTTCATTACGATCCAACACACAACCGGCCAAGGATTGCTCTCACGCGAACTCGCTTAACTTCGGAGTTCCGGTGGAACCCGAAGCCAGTGAGCTACCAAAAGGCCTCGTGCTAGGAAGAGATGAGAATATACATATAAGGCTTAGAGGATCCACTCCCCTGGGCGATGTGAGATGTTACACTTAGGTTCGATTCTCGCTAAAGACGAATTTGAACCACATTATTGCTAGCCTATTGTGAGGCTAAGCTCACCCCCTCTATAGATAATATGGTTTGTTAAAAATAAAAATAAAAAATATGCCCAAAATTTCGAAGGGTTGCTCCAACAGCCCAAAAAAAATAAGGGACGATTCGTGGGCTTCACCAAGTCTGTTGTGCAGCCAATGTTTGCAAGGGTTTGCTCCCACTGATGTTGCACAACGTCTGCATGACATCAGCTAGTGGATGGCAGGCCCCGAGACAAATAAATGCTGACAGAGTCCAATGACTCTCTAAACCGCTTAACATAGACTGTTGGATTTTCTACAATCTAATGGTCAGGACCGTTGGATTTTCAATGGTAAAAGAATTGAAAACTTTATCGTTGTGCCACTTCACACAACTAGGTGTGTCTAATTTCCATATAGTATGGAAATCAACGGCGAAGATTAATCCAATGGTAAAAAAATATACCAAATATTTTTTGTAATTCTATAAATACCTAACCATCTTCTTCATTCCCCACACCACGCTACAATTCAATATTTATTTTTACTACAATCTCCTATATTTGTTTTCCACTTTCTAAATCATTTTGTTAAAAAAATAATGAGTGAGAAGGCAAATTGGTTGATTGGAGAAGACGTTGCTTTGTTTGAGACTTGGGTGCTGGTTACTCATGACCCGGTCATGGGAAATGAGAGGAGGGTGCAACATGTAGAAGAAGATTCATTTACAAGGCACGAATGTTGGAACAATGTGAAGCATATTCCTAAGTACAAAGTTCTTCCTGCTGGTCCAGAAGTTGTGTTGAACGACACTTCTCTACACGAATCAACTACTGAAGAGTCACCATTGAAGCCCCCAACTGAATCGGTCACACCGACCCAAGAAATCCCAAGGCAAGAAGGCTACTAAGAAAAGAGCTACAAGAGGGAGGCGTTCGAATAATGATTATTCAAAATTAGTTGACAAATTGGCTCGCCAACATGCACTGACTATAGAGCAAGAAAGGTTATCTTATGAGCAAGAATAAGCTAGAGATAAAGTAAATGTGAGAGAAAGGGAGTTAAATATGCAAGAAAGGCAAGAGGAGAAGGATGGAGTGGAACTGCTCTAATAATTTGCAACAGGAAAGTAAGGTCCATTTCCCCCCCTCTTGTGTTGCAGAGCAGGTAAAGAGAAGAAACTGAAATTCACGTTTGCGTTTCATGTCAAACAAAGCCATTCACGCTTGAATCATTATCCATGTTTTGTCCTCACCAATAACTTCCTTATTTTGGTCATGTCACTCTTTGGCTGCTTTCCCCCACTCTCACTCTCACTCACTCTCCAATGTTTCGATGTTGAAGGCATCTTTCATTCAAGATGCAATATGTGATGATGGCATTATTGTCAAATGCAATCCCTGGCCCTTGATGTCAGCTTCATATTCACAGTCATGTTTTTCATTTTTCAGAAATTCAGGACCCATTTGATTGCTGTTTAGTTTTTTTGTTTTTGTTTTTCTCTTTTTTGTGCTTGATATAAGAAGAAAGTACATAGAAAAAGAAGTGATGAAGATGGGTGCTAGCAGAAGGCAACAAACAACTAAAGTATCAATTGAAAATAAAAAATTTAATTTGAAAACAATTTAAAATAATTTTGTCTTTTAGTTTTCATTTTGTGTCTTCCTCTTCTTATATATTTTCCACTATATATATCCTTCCTCGACGACTCGTCTAAACCCCTCATTTCTTCCGTATGTTATCCCCTATCTCTAAGATTAACATAAAAACAGAAAAATAAAAAACGAAATAGTTATCAAACAAGTCCTACAAAAATTGAGTATTCAACGGTTTTTTACTGCACGCAGATTGTAGACCGCAACACGAGATCATGTAAAGATGTTTAAGAGACTGAGAGTATTCAAAGCTATGAAACGTTTTTTACAGCATGGGTTTTTTTTTTTATTTTTTATTTTTTATGGTGGTCTTCCATAATTGTCATTCCAGACAGGTGGTAAGGGTCAACTCAGTGGTGGTTAAGGAAAAATGGGTCGGGAATGGTTATGAGGAGAATATCGATCTTCGTATTTGAAGAATTTTCCTCTTTAAATTAATGTATAGTCCTAGTGACATTACTGATTCATTACATGTTTGTCATTTATTCATTAAATGTCTGTTATGTGTTCAAAATCGACCTAACTATTTAATAGATGTTTATCACACTACTACATTTTACAATTACCACGCAAAGAAGAATTCCGTCGCACAAAACTTGTGAAGTTAGGGTTTGCACGATGAAGACACAGATCTTCGTCGCGCAAACACTTTTGCGCGATGAAAGTGAAATTCATCACACTAGGTTTTAAGGGATGAAGACCTTCGTGGTGCAAGATTTACAGCCACGCAGGATTGTATGTCACACTAACTTTTAAGGAACGAAGTTGGTGCAAGATTTAGAACCATGAAATATGTCGCCAACTTGAAGTAATGGCGACGAAAGCATTTCCTTAGGTAGGTACTAGAAATTAGGCCCGTGCATTGCCACGGGAACCAGCTGTTTCAGGCGTAATCGGATGAATAAAACACATTTAAGTTAAATAAATTCAACACAAATATGAGCAAACAAAGGGATACATGAGTGAATGAGGTCAATAAGATAAGCAATTTTGCTTTTATATACATTCAAGTGAGTTGGCATATAAACACATTGTATAATGAGTGGGAAGAAACTGAACGTCTTTGATTAGAAAGAGATGGTTTCCAAAAAAGTACTGTTTCCTTAAGAACAGAAGAAATATTTAGTTCACGCATATAATATGTGTCCTGAAGTGTAGGCAATCATTTCAACAGGTATTAAAAATAGAAAGTGTTGAGGACTTGTTGAAGTAGCTAATTTTGTAACCATAACTGTTCAAAGGCAAAAATAGGCAGAAGGTTAGTTTTCATACGAAACTGAAGAAACAGAAACAAGCTGCAGTTTACATGTATTTTGCCCCTGTAGTTAAGTTGGCAAAATATATGCCTTGCAGCCTACATGCCTCAATTGTGTAACATATGCCTTACACTTGAAAAATATAAAAAATCAAGTACAAATTTGTAAATCATGGACGGATTTTGTTTTACATTTTTATAATCAAATCAAGTGGCAGCGTAGCACGTAAAATTACGAACTTGAAGCAACCAGAGAGAGTAGAAATTAAGATATAGAGATATCCTCAAACTTGCAACATACTGTATGGAAGCTAACCGTAGAGGTTTGTGAAGCAAACTGCGCCATCAGTTGTAGTCAATTGAACAAAAACATGGTAGTTTAACTAAAAAATGCATGATGAAATGGATTCATAGTTTTCATATATGAAACAACCCTATATTTTTTTTGAGAAGAATATATGACACAATCCTATATTATTCCATAAGTCAACTTAATATCATTCCACAAAGTGCAATTAGAATGCTTATTTGTCGTAGAGAAGGCAATGCCACATTGAAAGCATATGGCGAAACTT